AGAAAGAAAGAAAGAAAGAAAGAAAGAAAGGAAGGAAGAAAGAAAGAAAGAAAGAAAGAAAGAAAGAAAGAAAGGAAGGAAGGAAGGAAGGAAGGAAGGAAGGAAGGAAGGAAGGAAAGGAAGGAAGGAAGGAAGGAAGGAAGGAAGGAAGGAAGGAAGGAAGGAAGGAAGGAAGGAAGAAAGAAAGAAAGAGGAAACTGAGCTTATGCTGCAGAGAGGAAAAAAGCCTCCCTCCTTAGTCCTCTCCTTTGAGATGGCAAAAGAAGTTGTAATCTCAGCCCTTGTCCTGCTAGCCGAGAGATCACAAACTCTTTGGGTCTCAGTTTCTTTATTTATTGAATAGATATTCTAATGACCACATTGCTATGCCCATCTATCTGTCCATCATTTGTCCATCTTCGAGCATTTAACTTTCACTGTTTTACATTTTGCTTATAAGAGTTACTGATAGCTCTCAAAGAACATAAAGTATGTCACATTCATCTTTATACCTATGGTTCCTAGGCCACTATTCTAAATGCTTTAAATCTATTAAATCATTTATTTTTCATGATACCATGAGAGAGGTATTCTTTTTATCCCCACTTATTTCAGACTTAGGAGGTTGTTTGACCCCAATCGTAATGATATTAATGGTGTCAGATAGATTTTAATGTAGGTATCTGGCTCCAGAGTCCATGTTCTTAATTACTATGCTATACAAGAAAGCAACTTAACTTTCTTCTCAAATCCAGGTACTGTTTCAGAATAAATTTTTCCATATGTTTGTATCCACTTTTTCCTCTTTACTCTTTAGCTTTTGTTTGTATTTCATGATCTGTGTTTATTTTTGTGTAATTACAGATGTGATTTTTCTGTGCACATTACTTTTTAAATCTCAGATATGAAATCTCATACATACATTAATTTTAATTTACCATTGATTTATTTCTTAGAAGCAATATCGAAAGAGAAAAATTTTCCTCTAATTTTCAAGTTTTATGACCCTAAATGTGACAGGGAGCAAAAAATGCCACTTTGGCATAAGAATTATTTTGAGTAAAAACAATTGCGAAGAAATAGATAACAGGAAAAAAAAAAAAAAAAAAGCTCTCTGCCCTCCACCTATTTTCCTAAAAGTAGAAAGCAAATTTGCAAAAGTACCCCTCTTTACCTCTGTACCAAGAAGGATGAAAGTTAATCATTAAAGACAGCGATGGATCCTTGTCAGCCTGGATATGGTACCAGACGGATCTGCATAATAAACTTGACCAATTAGACTTTGACTACCACTTGTTTCTCATATAGTTGCACTCCCACAATTTACTATTCCTAGAGGTTATAGGTCTCGTTCCTCTGTCTTGTCACTTCTCTAAAAATTTTTTGTTCCTTTGCTATATACATCCGAGTTCTAACCAAACTTTTTTAAGTTACTCATCCCTGAGTTTCTCTTATGTATATATGAGATATGCACATGGTAAACCTTTGTTAGTTTTTGTTCATTAATCTATCTTTTGTTGCAGAGCTTCAGCTGAGAATTTAGAAGAGAGTAGATGGAAAATATTTTTCCCTCCTGTCCAAATGCAAGGATAATCTTACATGAGTCCAGGAGGAAGGTAAGTAATATTAAAGATACAAGAAGATGAATGGCTTCAGATTTTGCCTTTTAGACTTTCAGAAGACAAGGGTTTAGATGAAAATTAATGCAAATCTAGGATAAACAAAGCAATCACAAGGAGCGTTAGGTCCCAGATATGCTAATTTTGGTCTCTGCAGGTCATAGAAAACAGAATTAAGACATAGGGACTGAGAAAGATTGTTAACTAAGTCCTTCACCTTTAAAAATGAGAAGTAATAAATAATTTAAGATTCAAACTAAATGGAACAGAATTTTTTTAAATTAACACAAAAACAAAAAAAAAAAAAAAAAAAAAAAAAAAAAAAAAAAAAAAAAAAAAAAAAAAAAAGAGCAGTAAAAAAGAAAACAGATTGGTCAGTTAAGCATTTCATTGTGAAAACCTTGACGTATAACCAAAGAATATCCAAAAATATTTCTGACATCAAAGCATTACCGTTAAGATTAATATTAAGAAATAAAATAAATGAAGCCTAAAATATAAACAAATTCACCTTTTTAATGTGACTTTTATTACTTACTTAAAAATCTGCAGTCAGAAAATATGAAAAGAACATTCACTAATCAAGCCAAGTGACTACTCTCCCACAAGTACTTAACACATTACAGTAAATTGTTATAGGATAACCAACATCACACACACACACACACACACACACACACACACACACACACACACTACATTCTTCCCAGCTTTTTGGCAGTTGGTTTGGGATTCATTAGTGAGAGATGTTTTTGTAGCCACAAGTTAAACAAATTTAAAAAGAAAAGAAAATAGCATTTAAGCATACGATCTGAAATTAGGGAAGCAATAATATACGAAGTAAAGATAGTTGACGATGGATAGGTAAATCATAGATAGATGATAAATAGGTGGATAGATAGATGATAGATAGATGTAGACATACAAAGAAATATTTCAATTGATGTGCATTCAAAAAAAGATTAATCACAATATTCACTCAGAATATTTTACTGGAGAAAGATGATATTCCAAGGCCATCAACAGTCCACTGCAGGGCTGCAAATTTTGATCTCTGACAAGATGAGTACTGAAATTGAAAGTAAGTCTTTAGAAACTTTTATAGTCATTTGGCAAAGAAATTTCATGTCTGTTGAATCTCATAATTAAAAAGATCTGCATTTTATGCCTTTTTAATAATTTTGTAGTAATTGATTTTTACTATATTTTATGAAAGAATCAGCATTAGAAATTTAAAAAATAAAATTATTCTTTCCCCACAAGTAGCTCAAGATGCTTTGAATAAAATCATATTTGGTGTTGGGGAAGCTAGGAATTCTTCCTTCTTCTGTGGTTGTACAAAACATATATTTAATGAACCTATCATTTTATTTTGGCAGGCATTGTAATTGCTCACTATCAATGTAAGAGAAATTACAGGAGGTGTCTGAGCTGAGAGAAAGGAAAGAATACCTCCCTGTTTAGTAGTTACAAGTTAGAACTGTAGGCAAAGTGTAACATTAGGAAATACAGCTGCTGGTAGACCAGTAGTTTGCCTGTTTGTACCAATAATCCTGGGGTTATTTTTCTTATATCTATACAGTTTTTCAAAACTTTGCTGTGGATTTCGTTCTGCCGTTTATAGACATGAGAAGATAACTTGTACCTTTAACATCTCGGCTAAAGCTTCCTTTTAGGCTAAAAGACAAGAAAAATAAATGTAGGCATCCCTTTTAGTCTTTGGGAAATTAGCGCTATCTGTGACATTAGCTTCATTTTGTTTTGGTGGCACTTTTTAGGGCTGTGATTTGCTGTCCATGCAGGGCAAAGCTGACCTCCAAAGGGATGTATGTAAGGAAAAGGTGCCCAAGAGTATAAAGAACTAAAATCTTTATGCCAGAAAACAAAACAAAAAAGATGTAAACCTCAAGTGTACTCCACCCATTTACACTTCTTAGCTCCAAACCACAAAGCGAACAAAAAAGTACCTTCTCAGACTTGTTTTTTTCTATCACATTTTCTGAGAAAAGACATGGTTAAGTTTTAAATGCACTGTCCTGGGCTTACTCTTAGATATCGATCTTTTCATAAAATTGAAAACAGTTGATACCTCTTAGAGAGCATCTGCCTCACCCCCCATACCACACCCGTTTCCTGGGTCACTGGTCCTATGACTAGCCTTGAGCTACAGGACCTAGAACACACAAAAGCTCTGCTGATTGCCAGATGTCAAAGTCACTTCATTTTTAGACCAACCTTCTTGCTAGCAATACATACAACGTCTTTTTTTTTTCTCACCTCTAACAAGAAGGTTTTGTAAAATTAGAGCACAGTCCATTTTGCTCCCAGAGTTGTTGCTCCGGAATTCCTTCACATGGACCTTGTCTGTGGGCTAGAGTATATGGCTGGTGTGAAATCAGTGCTGCAGATCACACTTAGGTTGAAAAGGAACTCAGAAGAGAAGTTATATTAATGTTTCCTTTAGGTGTTAAACAGAATAGCTGGAAAAGAGATTAAATAATCATTGACTAAGCCCCATTTTTGAGCCCCATTTTCCATTGATCTGTAGCCCACATGTCCATTAAGATTGTTGGAAGGACCTAAGAACACTTGTAGCCAGATTTGTTAAAATTGACATCATCTGCTAACAGAGTGTAAGCCAAGAGACTGCCTAGATTCCCGTTTCTCAGCGAGGACAAGTAGTCCGCTAATTTAAAAACAGGAAAACATAGGAGGGCAAATGTGAAGAGTCCTAAAACCTCATGTTCTTTGTTTTGTTGTTTTGTTTTGTTTTATGAGATGGAGTCTTGCTCTGTCGCCTGCACTGTAGGGTAGTGGTGCAATCTCTGCTCACTGCAACTTCTGCCTCCTGGGTTTAAGTGACACTCCTGTCTAAGCCTCCCAAGTAGCGGGCATCTGCCACCATGCCCGGCTAATTTTTTTATTTTTTTATTTTTAGTAGAGACGGGGTTACACCATGTTGGCCAGGCTGGTATTAGACTCCACACCTCAGGTGATCCGCCCAACTCAGCCTCCCAAAATGCTGGATTTCAGGCATGAGCCACTGCGCCTGGCCCTAAAAACCCATATTAATGTTAATATTTTAAAAGATAAGGAAAATTAGAGGAGTTACAGGCCCCTCCATACAGGCCCCTACATTTTGACTTGCCCTCAAGTTTAAATAAGCACTAAGCACTTCAAGTGCAGAATATCCTCCTCAACATTCATTCCGAGAATCAGCCGACCACAAACAAAAAGTTTATCTGCTGAAGCAATCTGATTTTGACACCTGTTCACCCCGCCCTCTTGCCTTCTGCCCCTACAAACTTCCCTGCCAGTTTTACCCCTCCCTCTCTCCAAAAGACTTGTCCCCTTCTGATTGATTTTGAGACACCTGAGATTTCTGAAAGGGACGCATTCTCCCTGGTGAAATATCTGTTTAAGTAAAGTTTCCATTTACCTAAGTCTGCATTGATTTTGATTGAACACCTAGCACTCTCAATACTGTTTGCCCTACACCAGTTTTTCACATTGCACATTACCTTTAACATACTAAATGTCGTCTCTATTTAACTTCCTCCATTTATTATGTTTATTGTCTCTCTCCCTCCATTAGAATATAAACTGCCTGACAGCAGGGTGCCTTTCTGTTTCATCTACTGAATTCCCATCACTGACTACAAACATGATAAGTGCTCAAAAAGCTTTTGTGAATTTAATGAATAAACTTACTCTTACCCATGACATGATAAGAGCAGGCTTTGTCTAATACATAAAAATATAGACTAAAGAAATATTTGCTACTGGTTCTGCCAGGATCTCATTCTCCACCCTAGTTAACTGAATCTCTGACATGTTTCTTGAGCTTGTTTTAAATTCTTGTTTTAATCCTCTAACTCCTCTAAAACTGTCCTGCTTTTCTTAGTTCTTCCTAATTTCTTTTCCTCTCTTCCCTGCAACTCAGCTCAGAAACTGGGGTCTCGCGACTTGTGGACAGTTGTCCCTGATGCTGTTAACCCACAGTATTTTCAATCAAAAAGTTTCTCTGAGTAGATCCCTGTGCATTTCTGTCAAACTCAGATCCCAGCCATACCAGCCACCTGTTTAGCCCTTCCCTGATATATCAGATCCCAGGTATACCAGGCATCTGTGCATCCCAGCTTTCCCTCCTTCCTTGGGCAGGTACCGTTCCTGTTTCTGACACCTCCAGTCATCCAAGTCCTACTTTAGTGAACAAAGTGCCTTATAGCCACATCCTAGACAGAAAAAAAGAAATATCATTTCTTCGTGATCATGCATAGATAATATTTGTGGAGTGAATTTGTGTCAAAAAGATCTGGGGGCACAGTGGTTTTACATTCTAAGTTATTCCTCTATTCCAAGGACTTTGGCAAAGGGAGGGGAAAGAATCAAAAGTTTTATGATGATCATAATGAGTTTCAGGTCATGACCACATAATTCACCTTGTTATTACTCACTGCTGATCCTTTAAGTAAAATACCAGAGCCCCAGTAAAATGAATGAGATATCAATGCCTGAGGATTTCACCCAAGCATCGCTAATTAAGGGTTATCTTCAAATGCATTCAAGCTACACAAGTCTCTTGAGTTTGCATAACTGAGCTGGAAATCAGTTGAAGGAACTTTATGGGATTTTTAGCCCAGGAGGGAAAGCAAGAAAGTTAGAAAACTCAAAACCATGGGGAAACAAAATAAAAACACACAAAAAAAACTTTCTTCACATCGAAAAATTAATGTTTTGTTTCTGATCTTTCTTTTTTAATGAAAGAAAAGCCTTACACTATCTTTTATATCCTCTTTGTCTTGTTTTCCAATTTTTACACCTCCAAATGAGGTATAGGGTGAAAGAAAGAGCCTTAGAATTCAAGTCAGGAGTCTCAGGTTTTACCTTCCCCTATTCAATATGAGTCTCATGTATGAAATAGAAATACAAATTACTTACTGTATCTACTCGATGGTGTAATAATGTGAATTAAACAAGAGGATGAATTGAAAATA